AGTTCGGTTTGGTTTGACTTGTGCGATCGAGTTCGATTGTTTCAGAAATTGAACTCACACAAAGTTCAGCATTCAATTTCATTCAATTGCCAAACTCAATCGGACTCAATCCACAGATTGAGTTCAATTGAGTTTGATTGAGTTTGATTTCCGAACATTCAACTGACTATGCCGGGTTTGAACTGGTCCATTTAATATTTTTCAGGAAAGCCATACCTTGCAGATTTGGAGTTCTTTTGCACCAGATCTATAACCTGCTGAGTATTTCCAACTTCCCCATCGGTCAAAAGGAACAGCTGCCTCGGGTGACCTTTGACCAGAGGCTGAGAGAACACCCACTGCAAAGGGGCCAGGATTTCTGTACCACCGAGATCAGCTTGCATGGTCTCTGCCAGCTGGGTGGCTTCCTTCAAATTTTCATCATTGTACAATGTGCTCTCTTTAAACAGAGTCCTGTCGCTGCTTCCAAACCCCACCACATTAAAGTAGCAGCCATCGGGCAGACTCTTTAAGAACAGAAGCAGCGTTTCTCTGGCGCTGTTGATTTTGCTTCCACTCATGCTTCCACTCCGATCAACCACGAACACAAATTCGCCTTTATCCGACGATTCTGAAGTTTTAAATTCCGGGAAGAAATTCAGCATCACGACAGGGCTTGCCATGAAGCCTTCTTTATCTTCCCTTCCTTCTATTTTCGCTCCGTTCTCCAAAATCGCTTGTGGCTTAAAAGGTTCGCGGGTCAAAATGTGAACCTCGACATCTTTGTTGAACTTGTGCGCCTCGGCCAGCTTTACTTTGGCTTGGCTTTGATCATTGCCATCTATCTCGACAATTAAGGCGTTGGACGAGGAAGAAATCTCGCTAATGGCCGAGATTGCTTTCACTTTCATCTCGAACTCAAACGAGTATGGTGAATCCACTGCTGCTGCTCTTGGGATTTGGGTGCTAAGACTCGCTGCACTGTCTTGTGGGGAGTACCTCGGATTCAAAACTGTCGGCAAGACAAACACGACTCGGCCTTCCTTCTCCACAGCGAGTTCTGTTACAAAACGCAGTTCTATGATAGCTTCCTTCTTGGGCGGCAAGTTCCCAACGCTTATTTGGAAAATGTCCGAGCTTTCGTCGCTTTCCTCCAGTAGAAAAGCACTTTGACCGCTGCTAATGGCGTCGTCATAGGTATCTCGAGCTTCCTGCTTTTCTTGCACTTCTGCTACAATGGTTCGACCGTCAATTGTCGCTTGAAATCCACACACAGCTGCTTGCTCGTCTAATGGGAAAATGTAAATGGCTTCAATAGGATTTTCATTCTTGTTCGTGTATTTCATGGTCGCCGACACGTGTGCGGTGAATCCCTGAACATCGACTTGAATCTCGATGCTCTCCAAAGGAACTTTTGAACCATTTTGCTTCTGCACGAGCCCAAACCTTCCAGCCATGATTTAAACTCTAGGTATCAACGACTACCAACAACGTGGCTACAGAAAGTAAGAACAACGTGATAGAGAAACTCAGTTTTATAGTGCTGTGTGCACTAAAAGTATTTTGGGCTACATTACGTCACTTTTGTCAGCACGTTTACGCATAGTTAGTTTACAGAAAAACTGAGCATGGAACGAGATTGGCAAGGAGTCGATAGACTCTTGAACGCTTTTTGTGTTCAACAACTTCTCTCCGATGTGCTTTCTTGTTGTCATAAGGCAGAAAATGTTCAGATGAATCTATACACGAGAAACAGCGCACGATTCAAGGCAACAACAACAACGTTATTTTTAGAATAACGTGACACGCATTCGAAACTAGCTGAGCTCTGCCAAACTGATTAACACCTACTCAGCTCTTTTTTTCTTCTCGAAGCTTTCTCTATTTTTCATCAAGTTATAAAATATTAGGCGTTAAAATTATAATATAGATAAAAGATCAAACGCTCTGGTGGATAAAACGTGTTTCGTTGTCCCTGCTTTCTCAATAGTCCTCAATGTGCGTAAAGCGTGACTAGGGAGCGTGACACTAGATTGATCTGATCTGCAAGAATTAGCTAGAAATGGTTACAAATCTAAATTTCCGCAGCGTTTCGAGGAACGAGAAAGTTGTGGACGTGGCACCAACATGCACACCACAATTTGCGTAAAAACAACATTTCTTATTACGTCACGCTTATTCCTGAGCAACTCAGGGTTTTTACTGAAAGTTGTCAGCAGTTTCTATTTGAAACGTTCCTGTGCAAAATTCCGGTGTAATTCCTGTGGTAATATTATAAGTGCGGAACAGTAGCCTGTTGTAACCACAAACGATATTATTGTCCGTTAATTAAAATATTGTTTCTTTGATTGGTTGTCAACTGCACGTCATGCGAGACGAAATATTTGCTTTTCAAGGCTGAAACATTGCGTTACAAGGAGTCATTAGCAATTACCAAAATCAGCTTGGAATAAAGGATTAGTATGCAGCAAGGTCCTCGACAAACTGTATGGTAAACGAGTTAGTACCCACAGTCAAAGAAAATCTAAACTGAGCCTGACGGAAAATAAACTTTCACCTTTAACCCTAGACCTATATCCATCCCTCATAACTCTTCATCCTCTTCTCTTTCCAATACGGTGACCGCGTAATAGCGTCGACAAAGCATGCTTCAGCATTGACGGAGGGATACGGGGCTGGCTATCGATGAAAAATATGTTTAACTTTTTCATCGTTAGGAAAGTACGGTTCTTTATTGGAAAACATTCGCGTTCGATTTGCAAAACCGTCTCAAAACGTTTGTCCCGGTGGTGGTGGCAACTCCCAAAAAAGGAAGCGTGTTGGTTTTGGTACCTCTTAAGATGTTCAGCCTCAAAAGGTCCCCAGCGGGACCTTTTGCGGTACGTTTCAGGGTATTGAGCCGAAAAAAAAAATGACAGGAGATGATGTGTTGTTTTAGAATTGGTGCCTCTCAGCTACGGATGAAAAACATTTCAAGCCAAGCCCACAAAACAGGATCCCGATACCTCTTCGGGGTTCGGTTCTTTTCAAAATTTCCGACGAGCACACCCGTCCTTTTTTTATGGGAGTTCCTCCCTGTGACGTTTTCCCGCAGCTTAAG